CCCACCGAGGTGGTCCCTATTTATCGACTTGCGTTTGCATGCTTTCGAACCGCTACGTTGGCGGGAGCTGGGACAAGCAATGGGAGCTCACTCCATCAAGTGGATTCAATCTTATGACTGCTGGTCTTCTGACCCTGCAGCACAGGCTTCTGCGGTTTAGCCCACAGCGCTACCATGTCCCGTTCTCATTGGAGAAGAGGAATCTAAATGTAAGAAATATCAGTTCCCAAAATAAAGCCTTGGCAATGAATAGTGACCTGGTTGTGACAACAGAACAAAACCATTTTTACTGTGTTTCTGAAATTCCCTCACCAATCATGTCATATTCTACCCAACCCAAAGCTTACGATTGTCCACCAGTTCTCACAGAGGCACACAACCATTCCCCACTCTGCAGACCCGCAGCACCTTACCTGAAGAGTGACTTATATTAGGTTTCGTAGCTCTGCTTGCAATCCACTTTTCTCATGAGCCTTACCTGCTGGAAGACCACATAATGTTATTGATAAAATCCAGCTGGAGTTCCCTAGGAGCAAAAAATGGCTAAACACTGGCTGTTCTACTTTCAGTGCATCACGAGAAGACAAGGCTCATCAGAAAATACAGTAATGCTAGGAAAAGTTGCAACAGGAAAAGAGGAAGACCAAATAAATGATGAATTGTGTAAAAAAAATGGCCTCGAGTTTGTAAGAGCTGAGTCATGGGTCTGTTGACAATAGGAATTTCTGGAGGTCACTAATTTGTAGAGTTGACATAAGTTGGAAGTGACTCCACAGATCATAACAAAATGTTACTAGCAGTTCTGTCTGAAATATGTATGCCATTCAAAATGTGTAGAATGTGCAATGGGGAAAAGTGGTTGAAAAATAAAGCCTCTGACAAGAATCTAATTTTCTTCTCAAGGTATTAAAGGTATTTAGTACCAAATACAAATTTGGTCCCCATTTAATGAAATGAATAGATGAAATTGATTGCCAAACTACGATTTCATCGCAAGCAGCAGGATCTGAATTATTCACAGTTTAACACTTTTTGGTTTCAGCAGTCACAATTAAGTTTAGCTGGACTTGTATATGTTTGTTTGTTTGTTTTACACAGTGGGTTATAGCGAAACCACCACAAATTCATCTGATTGTTTATGAAGCACTTACTGATTTTTAAAGCAAGCAGCTAGCTGACATTTTACCACATGATGGGGCTATACTCTCAAGTGTTGTCTGACCTGAGATAAGAATAGTCAACCCCTTGAATTAGTAGGGTATGTTTCCATCAATTGTAAGAAATAGATAATCTAAGTGAATAATCAACATGATGCCCTGCGCAGTGAGGAAACACTCTTGGATTTGTCTTGTTAGGTGAATAAGCCACAACCATAGTTTAGTTCCTAATTACTGATGTAGCTGATGCATTAATTGGCCTTCAACATGACAGTTGCTTGATGTTTCACCTGTCTGCATTGCCTTATTGCTCTGCCATGATAACATCTTGCTATTTGGTTCCCTTTCCCAGATCCACCAAAGCAAGCTCATTTTCTGCTTGCACAAGTGAACACATACATTGTATGAGTAATGAAAACAATACTTCTTAAATAAAGAAACAAAGAATGAGAAAACAAGACAATCACAAAATAAAAAATAAAGAAGACAAAATAAAAAATAAGACAAAAATGCTGTGGCACCTTAAAGATTAACTGTTATATTTTAGTGTTAGCTTTTATGGACAAGCCCACTTCACCAGAGATAAACTGCTAAAACATAGCTGTCTTTAGAGTGCTACAATGTTTTTGCTTTCTTTATTTTTTATTTTGTCTTGTTAACTTTTTATTTTTGCTTTGTTTGTGTCTGATGTGCTAGCACAGACAAACACAGCTACTGCTTCTAAAACTACAAATAACAAGGTTCAGATGGATTGGGTGTGATTCATTTCCCAGTCATCTGGATGAACACGATCAATTATTGGAAGATTATAGTGTATACATTAAAAGTCTAGGATATGAACTGTGTGCATAAACACATAAAGAGGCAACTATTTTTTGTAATATAGCCATTGTGATCAGTCTATAGTATGCAGTGGGCAACAGTGCTCTGCAGGTGTTATTGGACTGGAAGTCCCATAGTCCTTCACCACCAGCTATGCTGCCTTTGGCTGATGGGAGGTACAGCCTGACAATATCTGGAGAGCCACAGTTGCCCATCCCTGCTTTGCAGAACCATGTCTGAGCATCAACTTTGTGAAATATATTTTTTAAAAAATTAAGCTAAGCTGCTTCATGCTAGCTAGAGTCTGCCTATGAAATGGTTACCAGCATGGCACCTTTCTAATTTTTTTTCCATAGAGTCTGAGGATTGTAATGTAAACCATTTGGTTTTGAGGGGTAGCATTTTTAATGACTGATATCTTTTTTCTTTTGCATATGGACAGTCAGGTAATGGCACATTGTTTTGCATGAAGCACTGGATTCTTTTTCCAGGTATTTCTGCTCCAAGTTAACAAAGGTGACTGTGAGCCTCCCACAAGGCAATTCCATGTATGGGTGGATCCAAGACAGGCCTATGTCTACATAAAGAGGAGAGACTGTAAAATGGCACCTGGACACCTCTATCTCAAAGTCTAAACACTAGTCTGCCTTCAAGAACAATGGCCATCACAGCTGGCCCCACGTTTGGCTGTTGGCTTCTTCACTATCCCTAGGTTTTATACTGTACTAGTTTTGCCTAATAAAAAGTTATGGAAAAACAGAATGTTAGGAAGAACCACCTTCAGAACACAGCCAAAGAGCCCGAAAAACCCAGAACAACTATTAGATCCCGGCCGTGAAAGCCTTCGCGAATATATAAAAACAGAATTCCTTATTGGTAACTTTTTTACTGATTTAATAAAAGTATTACCCAACCCAGCACTCTGCTTCTCTTTAAGCAATGGTCCCCAGCCTTGAAATTCCAGCTGTTCTTGGACTACCATTCCTAAACATCCTGGCCAGCGCAGCTTATAATGAAGGCTTCTGGGGTTTTTAGTCCAAGCACATCTGGGGATCCAAGGTTGGGAACCACTGCTTTAAAGTGACCTTCTGTGAGGTTCCAGCATTTCCTTCCAAGCCCAAGCTCAGTTTTGTCAGCATTAAGTGCTTTGGAAAGAACTAAGGTGAATGGCTGAAGATCATGAGATTATTGTGTCACTTTTCCCACTGTGCCTGCTACACAGAAGGTATGTAGCTCCCAGGTAGGTGCCTGGCCTTGTCACTCTGTCACTTCACTTATTTCAGTTTGAGGGAAATTGGCTGTCATTCTGAGATTTTATTCTTAGTTCCAGTGCTGTGAGGCTCTAATTTTGAATGCTTGTTCTTAATCATGTTTCTCTCCATTCAGTTAATTTGACATTGGTAGTTTGCACTTGGATGCTTTTTTTTAAAAAAAAGATTTTCGTATTACAAATTTTTGTGACTCAGTTATTGTACTTCCTTCTAGCTGTTCTAAGTACAGTATATAAATGTATGAAACATGTAAGTGAATACAGAAACACGGAAAGAATATAGAAAGCTTCCTGATGCTTTGGACCATTACCTCATGTTGCCAACCCAGATAAGCAGTAGCTTCCCTGGATTTCAAAGTACTGTACTGTATATACTTTCCTGCCCCTCCCCCCCCCCGGAAAAGTCTGGTATCCCTTTGTGATCTCACATTCAAGTACTAAACAGTCTTGCTCTCCTGAGTTTCCAAAATCAGATGAGATGTAGTGTATTGTTCAAGGTATAATCGTCTTTAAAAGGTAATGTGCCAAGTTCATTCCCTTGATATATATTTTTTTTAAATCAAGTTTTTCATGTTAACTGAAAACGAAATGTTTCTAATTCTTATAATTGCAAAGACATGCTTTAAAATATACACACAATTCCTGATGAAATCTCTGAAACCGCAGGAGTTCGCAGATCCTGAGATTTCCAGTATTTGGGAGGGTCTTACATCTTTTCCAGTGTCTAACATAAACTATTTCTCCTCCACTAATTTACTAGCATAAATATTATATAAGGCAGAATAGCAAACATCTAATATAAATTAGGGATAACAACACCAACCATACAAATTGCTAATGAACATTAACCATGTTCAGTTGCACAACAAAGCCACGGAAGTCATCTCTATTTTTTTCAGAACACAGCATTCATCTTAACCTGAAAATAAATAAATATATTTATTTATTTTCGGGTTAAGATGAATGCTGTGTTCTGAAAAAAATAAAGATGACTTCCATGGCTTTGTTGTGCAAATGAATATATATTTATTTATATATTTATTATATATATATTAGCACGCACAACCATACCTATGCTGCTGAGCAGGCTACTGGTTATTTTCACACAACCTAACATCCATTCACCCACAGGACGCGCAAAGATGTCATGTTTGCTTTAGCAGGAGGTGCCAGATTTCTGCAAAACCTTCTAGCACTTTCTACAAGCTTTTGGAATCAGCTTAGCTGGTATCCAGTAGCCAATTTCCCTGCATGCAAGAGGAATATATTTAGCCCATGGTCTTCAAAAACAGTCCCACATAACTCTCTTGCTGCTTGTGAAACAAATGTAGCCTGCATTGTTTAACTTCTTTTAAAAAGAAAGCAGACGGCATTGAATCTTCAATGTGTGTTGCATTCCAGCTAGCACTTAGCGCTTCCTCAGCTGTTGGCCCCTGACAGGCAGAAGCATGTGGTTTCTAAAAATACTTTCAAGAACACGCATTATCTTCCCAGTAGGACAGTGTAAATTAAATGTTGTGAATTTTGTGTTCACAATAAATGGCAGTTTTGAAAACATGATGGTTTTATTCATTCTCATAACAAGGCAATTTTGCTCATGTGTAGCTAAAATGTCTGCCCCCCCCTCCAGTTGTGGGGGGTAATCTGAATTAACACCCCCCCCTTACTGGTGCTGTTTGGGAGGTGCAGAGACAGCCCATTTATAGGAGTGGTCCTGTGGAACTTGGAAAGCCTTTAAAGAGCAGGGGTGATAAGAGATTTGAGTCACTTGAAATGGTCCTGTGATACACTTGGATGCCCTCACACGACAGAAGAAGGCATGGAGACTGTGGAAGTGTTCACCACTGAAGAGAAAGGCAGGGGGCTGAAGGCAGCAAAGGAATTTTGGGCAGGAGATGTAATTTTTGCAGAACGAGCCTATGCTGCTGTAGTATTTGACAGGTAAGAAGGAATTACTGAATGCATTGATGTAATTCAGGGCATGAATGCATGGGGCCAGCTCATTTTGATTATGGCTGGTCAGAAATTACAGCCTCAGCAAGGAGAGTGTTATGACTCATCATCAAATGTATTATGAGAAGACAGAGGATCTCAGGAGAGAAGAGATGTTCACAAGAGCTAGAGTTACTCTAGAACTAGTCTACAGTAGTTTAGCTAAGAGAATGAACTTTGAGAAAGTTCCCAGTTGAGCCTCATCTGCACTGTGAGCCTTCAGTATGTATATAACTGCCATGGGATTGTTATAAGACAAGGGTGAGAAACTTCTGGCCCTCCAGATGCTCTGATACTTCAACTCCCATTGTCACTGACCATGCCAGTTGTGACAGGTGGAGAGTCCTATCACTACAGGTTCCCCATCCATTTTATATAGGGTTATATGAATATGAAAGATTTATGAATTTTTGTTTTGTTTATATGCATATGCTGGCATCATAATAATCTGTCAAGAATCTTCTATGTCAAGGACATGGGATGCGTGTTTTATTTTGGTATGGTGTCACTGAGGCTGGTTATCTTGGCAATTACATACAGATTCATCTGGAGTAGGATTAACAAGACTTTGCTTCAAGACCTAAAGTATAGCACATCATTTCCCGTTTGCCTTCCACCCCTTGCCATCCTTTCCTATCTTCATCTTTAATATCATTTTTACATAAACACATTATTTGGGTTTGTACCAGCTCTTGGAGATTCTCCAAAGTCCCAGAATCCATAGATACCTCAATCCTCTTCACATATTTTGCATGTGAAAAGGCTATGCAGCTGGAAGCAGCAACAAGATAGTTCCTTTGAGTTTGCCTTGCCCACTGGAGCATGCATTCATGTAGACACCCAAATCATCATGTAGATGTTGGGGGTAGTAGGACCAGACAAATAGTCTTCCTGCATCAGGAGATTGTTAATATTTTTGCCTGGCCACTATTTTTTAAACACTGGAGATGTTTTTCAAAGTGAGCACAGAGGATGATAAAGGGTTAACAATGCTGCCTGCACTCGCTAATTAACTTTCCCACAATTTACAGGATAGATAATGGTTTTAACCTTCCCCTGCCTAGTGTGAACACTAGTTAGGGCTTTACTGGAGCCCTCCCTGTACTGTATTTGGCCATTGTATGCTTTCAGCTTAAATATGAGAAGAGATCACATGTCTTATCACTCATTGAATGAGCACTCTGAGGTGCCTGTCCCTGTCTTTTTACCACAGTCATCAGCATACACAAGTGTGCCATACTGGCCTGATCTAAAACTATTGAAATTACACAAGGACTTCTCCATACATGCAATCAGCAGCTATGCACAGTTGGTCACTGGCCAAATAGGTTTCTCATAGATAGAAGGTCTCCTATTGATCGTCGTAATGTGAAGAATTGGTTCCCGAAGCAGGAAACCAATCTTTGCAAAGCGAAAAAAACCCATTTAAAACATTGTGAAGTGGATTTGTCGTTATACGGGGTAATCGTTAAGCGGGGCACGAGTGTAAATCTAGTAAATGTTCAGTTGATGGTTTTCTGAGTAGTGGGGTAGCAGTATTGCTATTAGAAATGGATAGGGTCAAATGCCTCATTTAATGAGTGGAGGGTGCTATGTATACCCTGCTGCTGAGAAACCCTGTTCCAGACATCTGTAAAGACCCTGGAAAAGTGCTGTCTATAACCCAATACAATGAATTTGGTTGTGTAAACCAATAAGTGAGGATTCTGAATTCCATAATGATAGTTCAATGTATGCTTCCCTCATAATTTAGTTCAGTTTTTCATTTTACCTCTCTGTACCCCTTATAAATTTTGGTGCCCTGGGGTACACGAGGAAAGAACTCTGACAGAAGCTCTCTTCCTGTTCATATTTGTGTGTGTGTGTGTTGAATGGAAAGAAAGAGACATTTTTCTGCTTGTGTCCTATTGTGAGCGAAAATGCAGAGATATTACACCAGCGTGGCTAGTGAGGCAACTGCATCTAGCATCCCAAGCAAATTAGGCCCTTAGGGAAAAGGGCATCTTTGTATGGTCCCATTCAAGCATTCCTTAGCTGGAATTGGCTCACCACACTTATGGAGGAATGGCTAGCCCCCCCCCCCATCCTCTGCTGTTGTTTGTGTGTGAAAAGTCACCTGACATCAAACTGATTCTGACTTAATAGTGACCTAGTAGGTTTCCAAGTTAGATATTTAAGAAGTAGTTTTTCCAGTGCCACCTCCCCAGAGACTTTTGATGGGGGAGCAGAGATTTTATTCCATATGTCCTGGGTCCCAGTCCAAAACTCTAACTGTTACACTACACTCGCTCTTGAAGTTTCATGTTATCAGTGCTAAGTGACTTATGTTAATGTTGTGAGTTGTCTGGCAGTGACTTCAAAAATAAAACATGCTAATTTTGCTAGGCATATAACATGCAATATGCAGTTATTGAATAGCTGTTCAAAATGTGTTGCTTGTTAAAAAGCAAATATATAATGTTTGCAAAAATGCTGCTTCTTTACATCAATCCAGCTGAAATCCAGCAGCATAACATATGCAAATAAGGTGTGGTGTTTTTTCAGCAATTAAAAAAATCTTGATTTCTCCCTCTTCCAAAGGTTCTGAGTCTCTCTCAAGATTACTTTCATTGTGAGGAAGCTGTTTGGGGGGGGGGAGTGCACAGGACCTGGGGGAAATATCTAATTTCTGAAAATCACTGCTGGTTGAATGATTTTATTGGCAGCAGGTATTTTCAGAAATGAAAGATTCTTCCCCTTCCTTGTAGCCCCAGACAGCTTCCCACTCATGAAAGACCCTGAGAGGAAATTGGAACCTTTGTGAAAAAAATTAATTTCTGAAAAACCACTTGTAGCTGATCATGTCATCTGCATCTCATGGCGTAAGTTATGTTGCTGGATTTCAATCCACATCTTTCATGTCTTTGGGTTTTAAAAGACCAAAACAATATATACAAGATACCACTAGGAAAAAAAAATAGGCAAATGTCTGAATTTCACCCATAGTACAGGCATTTCACATTTTGGGATTCTCAGCCATTATCTTTGTTAATAGCCATTTGGATCCCTCAAAAAGGAGTACTACAGGTAGAAGCAGGAGCTGCTGGTGTTGTTCCTGAACCTTTCTATTATTTGACAGGCAGTGGTGAATGTGATGACAGCAAATGTAGTGTTTGTATTATATCATTGAATCAAAACTTGTCTTCCCGCTTGTCTCTTCCTGTCTTTGATTTCTTTTTGGGTGAATGAATGATTCAGCTCATTTGCTGTGAGCACATGCTGCCTCTGAATGATGGTCAGTTTGTTCTTAGGCTTTTCAGAGTGTATGTTTAAGACGTTTAAAGAATTCATTCCCAAAATGTAAGATGTAAATGTAAATAACATGTTTGGCACTCTCTTCAAAGAAATAGAGTGTGCTGTAACTCCTGTTTAAGTGTACCGTGCATGACATTTCTAGATTTGCTACTGTAAAACACGTGAAATGGCCGTGGGCTGTCACATTCTGGTTTGGTGTGTCAACAGATTAAATTTAAGTCTTTACCTTGATGGAGTTACAATATCAGTATGGGAGTTAGCATCAATTAATTTTCTTATTTCAAGATTGCTTTGATAGCATTTGCAAGTGTCAAAAAGAATAATTCCTGGACCTCTTTTCCATGTTTGTGAAAAATGGACACCAGCCAAAATAGATATAGGCTTGATGGCTGTTGTATGTTTTCCAGGCTGTTTGGCCATGTTCTTTACTTCTTCAGAACACGGCCAAACAACATGAAAAACATACAAGAAAGGTAAGATTCCAGCCGTGAAAGCCTTCGAGAATACAGATATAGGCTTGTTTAAAAATAGGTAGGATGGAGACTAATCCATTGTAAAATAAGTAATGTTTAGACTTGATGCACTGAAATCCATGAAAGCGAAACCAATCATAACTTGCTTATCCCAATGCTGGATAGCTTAGTGATTTAGGTATCTGACTACAGAGCCAGAGGCTGGGAGTTCAATTCCTCATGGTACCTCTTTGACAACGGCTGGACTTGATGATCTATAGAGTCCCTTCCAGCTCTGCAGTTACAAGATTCCAAGATTATGTAATTCTGGATCCAGACCTCTGCACTGAATTGTGATAAACTTCCAAAGCAACACCAACACAGATTTGTTTTTGTTTTTTTTAAGAATGAAGTGTAACAGAAAAATGTTCAAGCAGAAAGAATCCTTAACCATCTCTTAACTATCACAGCAAGTTTCCAAAAAAAAGTTTCTGGTGTTTTTTTCTACTCTGCTTTCTAAATCAAGGCATAGCTATTTTAAATTTATGGATGTTGTGAAGTTACATCTTTGACTTGCTCGGCATGAGCAGGAAACCAGAATATGATTTGCTCAGTAACAGCTAAAACCTGCCTAAGTAGTGCTTGTAAAAGATAGGTTGATGAGAGAGACTTTCCCTGCCCCCCCCAGCCCACAACAGATCTGGGACATTAGGGTATTAGACACATTAGCTGCTTATGAGGGAAGAGTCAGCCACACCTTCCCAAATCCTTTAAAATCACAAGGATCTAAATGCTATCTATGATATGTCCACTTGTCCGGGGAGTTGAGCCTCCCCACTGAATGTTGCTAGTCGTTTCCAGAATGCAATGTACTGGAAACCCAATAACACATTCTGATGTGCAGCTCTGTCTCTAATGTGTTGGCATTTTGTTCCAACATCTCACATTACACCCAAGATATTTGTATATGCAATACAGTTACAGCTCTTTGCTGTGATGCAATGAGCTACTGTCCACTGTCCCAGGAAAACATGTGTAACTACTTCTCAAGATCTGGAGGAATCTCTTATGGGATAGGCATTATTTTGAAAATATAATGAAAACAATGACATGTACGATTGTGGTCACGAAATACTGAAATAAAATATATCACTCAGTATATTAATGTTTGTAGCACCTCACCAAAACTGAGATTGCAGCTGT